TGTAAGTTGCAAAATAAAATAGATTTCTTGATGTGGGTTACAGTCAAAAAAGTTTGAAAACCACAGCTTGGACAGTTGGTTGCATGGTGAGGAAGCTAAATGAGACAAAATACAGAGGAGGTAGCTTTACTGGGAGAAAGTAAGCCTGTGGCACATTTAATTGAATGTCTACCATGCAGATGGAGACATGAGTCTGAGGTTCGGGAGAGGTTCCAGCCTGAGCTACAGAGTTACAATACGAAATAAAACAAGATATATTCGGTCCAAAATGTGTAGTAAAGCACTCATGTTTATAGCTTAAACAGATTCCTATTTGCATTTTCATTATAAATAAAACAATGGCATTGTAAAATAAAAAGAGATTACAGTTAAAATTCTATCAACACATGTTGCAACTGTGAAATAAAATGAACTGTATTTCAAGACACTCACTAATAAAACATATGAAAAACCGTAAGTTTTGTGGGGATAAAAACAATTGCAAAGAATTAATATAAATTGATAGCATTTGAAATAGGAAAAGATTCAGAAAGCAAGAAAGCTGTATGTAGCTTTTGATTGCCAGTGGACTAAGGAGAAAAATATAAAATAAAGAGGTGCTTGATTCATTCTTCATCCAGAAAAAAATTTTTGAATTGAATTGAATCTAGTGAACTTTCTTTGTCAGTTTGGCCAGTAATTAGAGATGAATTTTGTAGATTATAAATGCATATATTGAGGATTATTGATACATATATCATTTAGGAACAAAACTAAATTTCTTAAGAGTTTAAAATGTTACTGCTTTCCCTTTGGGTTCCATAATTTTCCATAGCCACAATAAGTTTTTTTCATCAAGACTCTCAAACTTATTAATATATAATTGTAAAAGAAAAATTAAAATATTACCTGTCTGAACAATGAAGAATGAGAAAGGTAATTTCAATGTGAACTGAGCACCTTAAAAACCAATTAGAGGGTAAAGGGGACATGGGAACACTGTACTGTTTGTTTAATTTCTTGTGAGGCTTAAACTCTTTCAAAATTAAAAAAGATTATGTAGAATTTAGGTGATGAGAATACATTATGAAGCACTAGGAAGAATGTACTTAACATAAAATGCATAAAGGTAAAGATGCCTCTGATATGTAAAAGTTCCTGGCGAAATTGAATTAAATAAACTTCATTTTACTAATTATTTATTAAATGACTACTACCTAACATTCTGTGATTCATTAATAATAACCTGTATTGCAAACCATGGATGATAATTAAGGCTGTCTCTGACTTGTAAGTGCAAATGCTTAGTCCTCCTGTTTACTCCACTCTTCTGTGCTTACACTCAATACAAAGCTGCTAACAACTAAACGTATATCTCCAACCTGAGTGCTTCCACTGCACTCCATGCTTATCATCATACTGCTTTTTTTTTTTTTTTTTTTTTTTTTGGTCCTTTTTGAGACTGGCCGCGCCGCGCTCAGCCAGTGAGCACACCGGCCATCCCTATATAGGATCCGAACCCGCGGTGGGAGCGTCGCTGTGCTCCCAGCGCCACACTCTCCCAAGTGCGCCACTGGCTCAGCAACATCAAACTGCTTTAACAACATTCATATAGCTTATTAAACAATAAGCACCTCAAATTTACAGCCCCCAAACTGAGCTCCTGATATCTATCTTTTTTTTTTATTTTTATTTATTTTTTTTTCCTTTTTGTCTTTTTTTACTGACCGGTAACGGGATCGCAACCCTCAGTGTCGCGCCCGTACCGTGGACCGGCAACGGGATCGCAACCCTCGGTGTTGCACCAGCACCGTGCTCAGCCAGTGAGCGGAACCGGTCCCCACATGGGATCCGAACCCTTGGCGGGAGCGCCGCCGCGCTCCCAAGCGGCGCACTCTCCAGTGCGCCACTGGGCCAGCCCTGATATCTATCTTTAAACCAGCTTTTTTGGTGGTCTTCTCTGTCTCAGCAAATGATGACTTTTTTTTTCTAGTTGCTCTGACCAGTAACCTTAGTGTTACCCATGTCCTCCTGTTTCTTTCATACCTCACATACTTTATTCAGCAAAGCACACAAGCTCTGCTTTCAAAAATAAACCCTAATTTGGGCACTTCTCACTATACTCACTGTTAACACTCTGGTCCAAGCTCCTATCACCTTGGTCCTGGATTAGTGTAATCACCTCCTAACTGATACTTCTCTCACATCACACTCAGATATCAAATCCAGATAGATGGTAGATCTAAATATAAGAGTTATAAATAATACATTTTTCTAGAAATCACAGGAGATCTTAATGAATTGGGAGTATGGAAAAAATGAAGAAAACAAAAAGGTTGACCAAATAAACTACATTAAAACTAAGTATTGTTTTTCATTAAAAGACCCCACTAAGAAATTGAAAAAGCAACCCACAGTATAAGAGAAGGTATTTGCAACATATGTAATTCACGGTAGTTTGTATCTAAAATATATAAAGATCTTTAAATTAAAAAGAAGAATACAGACAAACCAGTAAAAGAATGATCGAAGGACATGAATAGACACTTCAAAAAATACTATGTGCAGCAAAAGACATTTACAATGCTATAAATAATATTTTTCATAAATACCAAACCTAGAAACAAGCCAAAATCCCATCAATAAAAAGCAATGTATTTTTCTTTTTTGCAGCAATGAAAATAAATGAAGAATAGCACGCAGAAGAACATGAATGGGTCAATAAGGCCCATTGGTGGTGTTAGATTTCCTAATTACCATTTTAGAGCCTCACACTTAAAAATAAGAAAAACAAACATTTGAAAATATTTCCAAAAAAAAAAAAAAAAAAAGAAAGAAACTAAAACATATACATAAAGACAAAGACCATGGCCTTTTAAAATAACCATTCATATCTTAAGGGATATGAGAGAAAGATACTCAAACATGAAATAAGAACAGAATGTTATTTAGAAGAAAAAACACATAAAAACAGAAAACAAAAGAAAAATCCAAAGAACAACAACAACAGAACAGTCATGGATGTTGATAGCTGACATGAGAACTCAATAGAAGGACTGGAAGATAAAATTGAGTAAACCTGCCTGAATGCAAAAACATAAACGTTGGTGAAAAAGGCAAAAAGGAAAGAAAATTTTAAAATAAGACCCCAAGTTTTAAATCCAAAACATCGATGTAGGAAGAAAAAAGAAAGAAACCATAAGTTTCCATATTGAAAGAGTCCCCAACTACTCAGAAAAATGTATGAAAGTAGAGCCACAGGAAGACATATCTTTAAGAATTTTAAAGACACTCAACACAATCAAAGATCTTGCAATCTTCCAAAATTAAAAAGAATACGGGATAAGCTAGTTAAAAAAAATAGTTATAGAACATTTTTAATATTATATGACTTTTAATTATATACAACCATGTCTTTGATAAAACAAAGTTAAGTTTTAGAAAAACATGTTCAAAAATAACAAGATAACTTAAAAAGGAAAAGAAAAGCCTAACCCTTTTTAGTAGAATGAAAAAGACAGTGATCATAAAACTGCTTGAGGCAAAAATTTTCACCAAACTTTTGTATATTTATTAATAACATTAATATTTAGTTTTCATATATTTATATATTTTAAAAGAAGAAAGATACATAAAACTAGAAATAATTTTGTAAATAACTTGTTGAAGCAGGCACTGCTGGTATACTACCCAATCCCCAGAAGATTTTTTACCAGCTCTCTATCCACATCCCCAAACTTCTGCATGCTTGCTGTTAAATCTCCCATCTGAGACTTTCAGTTGATTTTTCTTGGGTTCTGGAGCCTCCTTAACCCCACAGAGAGCCGAAGTGCCTGGGAGTTTAAGCCTAAACCCTAGGAAGATTATATGGACTAGTATGGGAGTTCAAAAGCCCAGCTCCTTTGCTCCAAGGCAGGGCAAGCATTGAGACATAACTTATGTTCCAGCCCTCTTGGCAGGATCAGGCAGTCTGTGACTCTACCCCGAATCACACCTGCTCTTAACTTCCTCCCTTTACTTACCTTGTTTTACCTATTATCCTACTGATGTCTCTGGGATCACTTTCTTAATGAATCGCTTGTAGTGATGTTTTGGCTCAAGATCTGGTACTGGAAAAACCCAGCACTCTTGGTGTGCTAAGGGACAGAAATTGACTAAAAGGCACTGATTTGCCCACTAGAGCACGTACTCTTTAAAAGCAGAAATTGTGACCTGTTTACCCCTATTTACCAGCACCAAATTTGGTGCCAGACATGTAATAGAAACTCAACCACCCAAATACCAATGGTGAAATCTCAAGGGAGCATGGTACTAGCCAAGTGACCAAGTGCTCACAGTTGCTCATTGCTTACCCTCTGCGTTGCCTTGGCCAAACTTTCATCAGGCGTATCCCTTCCCTACCAGCCTTTGAACTCTGCTTGTCCCCAAGCCTAAGCAAGCACACACACATAAAGGGAACATTCCCCCCTTCTCCTCTTCTCCTGGGAGTTGGCTGACTGCAGTGAGACCCTTTTCCTGTTAGACCCCACTGGTCATTTTTCCTAGCTTGTCCAGCTTTCCCTCCAGAGATTCCGTTTATATCTGCTTGTTTCAACTTTAGCTTACAAAACATAAAACGCTTTCCTGATTGATTTGGTGACCCTTGCAGATTTCTGAGATGGAAGCTTTCCCTCACTTATGCTAACCTATTTGAATTAAAGTCTTAGTCTTTACTAAGACCTGATTTGTTTTTCTTTGACAAGTTTTCCACAGGATAGCTTACATATCAAACCTTCCCTGGAAAAGAAAATTAATTACTAGAAATATATTTATTTCTTATTTAAAAAGAGTAAGTTCATTATAACAACACTACTATAGATTACCTTTTTTCTTGCATGAAATGATTTTATCTATGAAATAGAACTTACTTTCCAAGGTCACATTTCATTTCTATTTAAAAAGAGTAAGTGCATTATAACAACACTACTACAGTTTAACTTTTTTCTTGCATGAAATGATTTTATCTATTAAATAGAACTTACTTTCCAAGGTCATGTTTCATTTTTGGCATTACAGTTGGTTTTGGTAATTCAGTAGTTAATTTCAGTAAATACCAGAACTCTTGAGCCATTTCAGGCTGAAAAATAAGGCTGGTAGAGAGAAATAAACAAAATCCTGTCAATGTTTTTAGTTTGTATGATAAATTTGGCAGAAAAACATATCCCAAATTGGTAGAAATATTTTAGTTTTAAATACAATATTTTACAACTACTCTGTGACACATTTTATTCTTGAATTTTTAAATTATTTCAGTTTTTGGTGAGAAAATCACTTTATTCAAGAAAAACAGTGCTGTCAGTAATATCCGTTTAACAAATGCCTGCTGAATCAATGAAAAATGTTTCAATGTTAGTATCTTAAATGTCTTAAAGGAGCTATTACAGGAAAAGTCCTGCTTTTTAACTGTGATTAAACCAAATTAATTTTGTTGAGGTGAATGCATGTGTATTTTCATGTGAAGGCTATCAAGTGACATGCACTTCTGGAGAGTTTCCTCTATAATCAAGCATGTGCTCAGCTCTGGGGGAGACAGAGCTTGTGGCAGTCTAAATGTATAATTGGGCTGCTATCTCAGCTCTGTTGTCTTTTATTTGTGCATCCTTGATCAAGTCACTTAACTTTTCGAGCTTCAGTTTCGGCATTTATAAAATGGGAGGGATTAGTCCTTCCTTTACAGTTGCTGTGAGAAGTTTGTGCTCATGTATGAAAAATGCATGTCCCAGTGATGATAATAGAGTAGGCAGTCAATACACATTAGCCAGACTATGTCTTTTAATGTATGATGATTAAAAAATTCAAGATTCAATCTGTGCTCACAAAGCCTGTGCCGTAACATTGGAGAGATAAGACCAGTCCATATTTTTAATGGTATCTATTAAAATAGTGTCTTTTACAATATGTAATGTTCTTATTTTCAAGTCGTGCATTATAATAATTTTATCCTTTAAAATTTTACAAATATATTCATTTATTCATCCATTCATTAAAATAACAATTACTTGGTTTCTATTATAAGATACTGTGCTAGAAGCACAAATAATAGTTATACTGGAGGACATTACATTAAATGAAATAAGCCAGCACAGAAAGACAAATACCACATGATCTCACTTATACATGGAACCTGAATAGTTGAATTCAGAGAGCACAATGGTGGTACCAGGGGCTGGGGAGATGTTGGTCAAAGGATATATTTCAATTAGAAGGAAGAAGATTAAGAGATTTATTGTACAACATGGTGACTATAGTTAATACCAATGTATTATATACTTGAAATCATTGCTGGCAGAGTAGATTTTAAATGTTCTCATCACAAATAACTGATAAATATGTGAGATAATGCATATATTAATTAGCTTATTTAGCCATTCCCCAATGTATACATATTTCAAAGCATCATGTTGTACACCATAAATATATACAATTTTTATGTCAATTAATAAATTAATAACATAATTATCTTAGCCCTGAAATAGCATATAAAGTATCAAGGGGCATTTTATTAAGTATAATAATAGAATGCATTGCATACACAAATACTAAGTCAATTATAATCTTTAAAACTATAATAAATAACTTGGATATTACTTTTGAAGCAAATAAAGTTGATTATTTTAATAAATTATAGAGTTAATTCTGAACATAGAGGCCATCTTTTTATGTGTGCATGTATGTTAATATATAGTGCAAAGAAAGTTTCTCATAATTATGCTATGCAAACACTTGTCATTACACTGCTAATATTTGTGTGTATGATTTCAGCATAGTATAACATCCTCAATTTTTTCTATGTCCTCCATGTGAATGATTTCTATTTAATTGAGAGTAAAATCTATATAAATTAATTTTCATCAAGGGAATTGATGTTTAATCACTAGTCCTCATTAACTCATTTTTGTTTGTTTCAGTTTTTTTCTCACCCAGAAAATCTGGTTAGTAAAAAGTGAAATGAAAGAGCAGGTAAAAGTCAAACTTCAAGAATTACTTAATTTTATATTCTAATAAACAAAATTTTTGCACTGAAGCAAACAAAAGCTAACTCTAAATTAATACATTTTATCAGGGAATAGTATCAAACAAAGCTAAAACTATGAGCAAATGTAATTTTAATGATTACAGCATGTGAAGAAATAATTATTTTTAAAGCTAAATTTCTAAGGACCGATAATGAAATATAATGCCACACTCAAACCATACCTTTCATCTATACAGCCCGTAGCTGCTGGAGTATACTGTACAACATAGTTGAAACATTCTAGAGGTCTCAGTATAATTTCCTTGAATCCATTAAGGGCAGCATTTGTTAATTTCACATCTAAGCAAATAATTCTGTCTTTTGGGTTAAAGAGAGGTATTTCAATGCAGGTGGTGTCCTAGAATTACAGAAAAAAATATAACCAGCTTTTAGTATTAGCATACAGTCAATGTTTTATGGAAGCAAATGTAAAGAAAACTATAAGGCTATCTTTTATTTTTTTTCTTTGATCCATGATTGAATGTATCTCTCCAGCTTTTAGTCTCTCTTATGTTTTCCTTGATTAGTCTTGAGAAATGGTAACATTATATTTTTCAACAGCAAATACTTCACAGAGATCCATGTAAGGAAATGCTAAGGAAACCATTTGTGAAATTACATTTAAAATGTATTTTTCATCAGTGCTATTATTACCATAAGGTCCATTTTTCAGTGTTTACTCTACCAGTGGCACTCAAACTTTATCACGTGTAAGAATCACATTAAAAGACTGCTAAAACACAGATTCCTGCCCCACCACTCCTCTACACTAGAGATTCTGATTCAGTAGACCTGGGATGGGGTCTAAAATTCACATTTCTAAAAAGTTCCCACATGTGGCTGCTGCTGGTGCTGCTGATCCAGAGGACACACTTTAAGGAGCCCTATACATTAGCATCAAGTAGTAGGGACAACCTAAACTAAGAAGTAAAATTCTGCTGATGATACCTTTACCTTCCTGTTTAGATTTCTTCCTTCTGTTCTTTTTTCTCCTGTCCTATCCCCAAGTTAAATCCACTCATTCCTGAAAGGCACTCTTCAAGTTGCAAGACATTTCCTGATCCTCATCCTGATCCATCCTAGCTTATGACTTATGCTTCATCCCATTACAGCCATGATCTCCACTACATTGAAAGCTATTAATTGAAGCAAATATAGTAAAGGTAATTGATAGACAGGACATTTCTCAATTTTAACAAAGGTCAGTTGCCTTTAATGCCTCAACCTAAAGAAATGGAGAATGTTGGACAATTCAGTCATAAATCAAAGTTTGGTAATGGATATACTTTGGAATATGGAGCTATTTTGAAATTTATCTAATCACATTACAACGGTGACAAGAAAACTTTGATGCTAAGCTGGTGGGGACATGTCTTCAAAATAAACATTACAGCTTTGTCCGTGGCTGCTTCGTAGTACCTAGTTCACAGAATATTTGCTTGATAACCTCTGTAATAAATAAATGAGTGGGTAGATGCTGTATTTTAGGGGAATGGAAATAACTTTTAGAATGGTGAACAGCATCTGATGAGGAAAGATGGAAATCAAGGTTATATATGAGTTAACAATTAGATTAGAGCGGATTCCATTTATTAGAAATCAGTTTTAATTACAAATGCAATGGAAAACACTCACCTACAATGGTTTCAGGAGATATTAGAATCATAAATCCTTAAAATAAATGGTAATTTAAATTCCTACAGTAAAATATCCAATGCTTATAATTATAAAAAGGGAAAAATTGAAAAATAAAATGCAAAAATCTCAACAATGGCATTATATCATGGAGTTTAATTTCCTAGGCAACTTGACATATTTTATAAAACTGTTACAGGATTTAGCCTCCTAGTAAGTTTCCAAGGGTCAAACAAATTAAAAGCTAGGAAAGGAAGATGCTGGAATTGCAAGTACCATCAATCATATATTGGCCTAAAAACTTCACCCAGGGATTATGACAGAAAATTGAAAGGTGACATTTTGGCCTAGACATTTTTCCTGGTCTATTACTGTATTAGTCCGTTTTTGTGTTGCTATAACAGAACACTTGAGATTGGATAATTAAAAAGAAAAAAAGTTTATTTGGCTCACGATTCTGACACAGCTGCATCTGGCACAGGCCTCAGGCTGCTCCTACTTATGGCAGAAAGCAGCAGGCAAGCGGAGGTGCAAGAAGATCACGTGGCCAGAGGAAGCAAGAGAGAGAGAGGTGCCAGTGTCCTTTTAACAACCAGCTCTTGTGGGAACTAGTGGAACAAGAACTCTGTCACTACCCTTCCCCCTTAGGGAGGCCATTAATCTATTCATGAGGGATCTGCCCCCATGACCCAAACACCTCCCAACACTGCTACAATGGGGATCAGATTTCAACATGGGCTTTAGGGAGGACAAACATATCCAAAACTGTTTCAACCACTTATGTATTCTTCAGAGAAGATCAGTGTCAGTTCAAGAAAAGTGCTCAGCTTCTCCACAGAAGTAAGAACGCTAGGATCTAAACCACTAGTTTTCAAAATGTTTTAACTGCAACCCAGAATAATTCATTTTACAACAACTTTTGGTCCATATTCACATATCACAAAAGTTTCACAAGACAATCTCTACCTTTAACACATGTGATGTTCTCTGATACATTCTACTACTATATTTTATACTATCCTGTTTCTTAAAAAGTAATGCTGGTTTTGACCCACTCCCAGGTTGGGTCCTGCACATTGAAAGAGGAATTGAATACCCAAATACAGAAGTGTTGTAGGTCTTATCACACACAAACCTTGAACACAAAATAAAACAAATTCATTTTAAACCCACTATTTTCTCTGTGAACTACAACCCATCTAACAGGAGCTTGCTCTCGTGTCACGAAGGTGTTATAACATTGTATCGTTGACCGGACCTTAAGAGTAGGAAATAAGGACGGAGCTATGAGGCGCTTATGTCACAGCTCCTCCTTGGCATCCTTTCCTTATCAAGGGCAAGTATCACTAACTGATCACTTCACTCTTATCCAATAGGTCTGGACACATCCCCAGAATCCTTCACAGAGCAGCCTTCCAGAAAGCAATAATCAGATGCTTAGAGCTATTGGCACTGCAATCTCTTGAGAATCCCTTGAACTGAGTTACCTAGAGTCTCAAAAACAGCAAGACTGAATAGAAATGAATGTTTCATTATAGCCAGAAGCTTTCAGATTCAAATTAATGGTACTGTACTTCTAGTATGGCTGAAAACATTTCAAATTCAAGTATAACATTATAAAAATAATTTCTAGATTTTATTAGGGTTTGAATATTATTTTCTTTCAAGTTTAAATAGATAAAAATCTTTAATGACACCTTTAAAATATGGCGTTATGTAGATACCTTTTATTTTAAATATCCATCTGCGAAAAATATTGTCAAAATAATTTAGACAAGGTTAATTTTCTAAGTATCAATACTTCTTAAGGTTATAAAATTAGATTTTTAAAAGTATTTGATATTTTTAGTAAGCTAAAAAGGAGAAATTTTTGTCATTCATCATTTTATGAAATTATCAAAGATTATAAATGTATTCTTGGAACACCTCCATTGTGTTATCTATACACCGGTACTTCAAGAAGTTCATGGAATAATAGAATTAAAAGATAATATGAATCTTTCCATGAACTTTTTGAAGACCCCTCATATAATTACAGGTATGCATAACCATCTTGGAAAAATAACACAAAATAAAATGTAAAAGACAATCACATCTACAAAAATGATTAATTGTCTTGTTGTCTAAGGTATCATGCCACCCCCATTCCATTTTATGGTAAATAACTCATTCGGGGGGAAGTAGAAAGTCAGTTAAATTTCTGTGAATATCTTATCTATAAAAAAGTTTGACATATTTGGCTAGTATCTGTCTTGACAATGGCATATTTCTTCACTTTGATGAATAAGGTTTTAAGGTGAATTTATGTTTAGAATTAAACACAAATCAGTTTTGACTGATTTTCTTTGTAACTCAAATAAAAGAGTAATGACTGCACTTGGTGACTTCTAAGGCTTTCGTCTCCACATGTGCTGTTTTAAGTTCAACAATAGAGAGCAATCCTTTATAAGGTATCCAACATCTTTCTCTTGCTTGTACTTAAGAAATAAGAGTATTTTAGCTAAATAATGGCTGTTTAAAGAAATTGCGTTCATTTCTCAGACTCCTTCATAAAAGGACTAAAATATGCATATTTAATCCTGTGGAATATAAGTAAAGATTTTAAAACAGGAAAGACATTCATAAGATGCTGGAATTTAGAATAACGAAAAAATCAAATACTCATGTAAGATTGGCATACTATTTTAAAATATGTACAAACAGATGTATTGAATTTTGCAAGTTATAAGCCTTTTCACTTAAAATATGTACAACCAGGTGTATTGAATTTTGCAAGTTATAAACCTTTTCAGAGGAAATTTGAATACCTATATACATTTCAAAACAAAGGTAAGATATTTTCAGCATTTAAATATAATGTATATGTTTATTATTTTCTTGCAAGGGAAGAAACATTTCCAGAGGTTTAATAACATAAATTAAATGAAGTCTTTAATTTCTTTCTTTACACCCTCTAGTAGCAAAATTGCACATGGACTTCAATCTCTCATCTTGCCCGTTGAAGCCCTAAAAGATCTAGTCCAGAGGAAAACCTTTCATCACAAGTCCCTCCCTAGCTTCATTTCTGTTTCAGTTCCAGCCTCCCAAGCTTCTTTTCTTCTCTGTTCCTGGAATGCCTTGGCTCCTTCCTTCCAGGACCCTTCCCACCAACTCATTTTGTCCTGAGGGCTTATGCACTTGTTAGTTTCTCTACCTGGGTACATTGTCCCAGCCTTCAAGCCACTCTTAATGTCACCCTGGGCTGTTTTTATTCATAGAAGGATCACTATAAATTTTTATCCTTCATTTATTGTCATGGTAATGGGTACACTGGATGGAGTAAACTTGGTGGAGCACCATCTGAAAAGTTTCTTTTTCCCACTCCTTTTCTCCATACCAATGAAGGATCTGCCTTTTTCCACCCCCTGTTGTGATTTAAGGATGGTTCCCAGTGTAAGAAAAGTCTCATTTGCAGGTATTTAAAGAAAATCCAAAATCAATCAGCACTTTTATCACATATTCAGTTGAATGCTTTTCCTGATCTTCCCCCTCTTGCACCCTGTCTTCACCCTCAGGCCTATCTAGGAATTCCTCAGACCACTTGTGGGGAAGAAGGTGTGCATGACCTGCTCTTTCAACCCCCCCCCCCATCTAACGATCTAACTTCCTCTCTTCCTTCAATCACTGTGCTATTATGACTCCCTCAGGTTACAGGGTGATATGGGATGAGAGGTTAAAGAACAA